GTTCTGCCCACTGTGGCTTCCTCCTGGGAATGTCAAACAGGCTAGGGGGAGGGGTGGTCAATCCCTTCCCCTTTCCTCAACTGCCATTTGCTGCGGCTGGGTGATGGTAGCAGAGGACATATGTGTGGGGTGCAGGGGCATGAATGTGTTCTGAATTCAAGCCAGTGTGAGGTGATATGGGGGCCACAGGAGTGATGGATGTCTGTCACTAAGTTTAGAATGGCACCAGTGATAAAACTAACAATGTCTCAAGCATTCATTCATTCATTCACTGGTGGGAAATGGGCAGCCAAAGCCTTGTGTTACCAGTGTGTTACCAGTGTGGGGCTCCTTGGAGAGCCACGTGCATGGTGGAACCACCATATTGCCATGTATATGCCACTCAAACCCTTGTCTCTGAGCTCTCCTCATTGCTAAGAAAAGCAAATATTGGATCCAGAAGACCGTTCAAGTCCCCAAAGCAACTACATCTCAGAGTCTTCCATCTTTCTTTTAGAGCGTTTCTAAGTCTATGACCTTATGAATATGTCCACACCTACTCTTACATAAAAGTGACTTGAAATCATTGACACCAATTAACTTGTGGATTCACCCCAAATCTGTGAGTAAAACCCACCCATCAGGAAGACACCAGACTGGTTCACGGGCCTCCCTCCACACACCTGCTGGGAGAGCAGATGACCAGGCAGAGAGGCAAAGAAAGGTATTTTTCCTCTTTCCTTTCCTCCTCTTTCCTTTCCTTTTGCCTTCTGTGGGGTTTTACTCTGTAGCCCGGGTTTGCCTTGAACTCATGGTGATCCCCCTGCCCCAGCTTTCTAAATATGGAGACTACAGGCGTGTGTCATACACCCCATGTATTTTCTTAGTGTGCTTACTAGCCACCTGTGTTTCCACGGCAGGCTATTCTCTAGGTGTTGCTAAGCACACCTGCTACGGAGAAGTGTAAGCCATATTGTCTAGACTCAGTTTGTCCCCATGCACTCCAGTTCTCCTGGCTGCTGGGCAGGACACAGCTTTAGTTTCATAGTACCACGTGATTGTCAATTCTCCTTTGGCAAATGAGCTATGTATGTTACAGAGTGTGAACGAGACACCCTAAGACAATGTTTCCTCCCACATGTGGGTCTTGAACCCTTAGAGCTGAATGACCCTTTCACAGGTGTCGAACATCAGATATCCTGCATATCAGATATTTACATTATGATTCATAACAGTATCAAAATTACAGCTATGAAGTAGCAATGACAATGACGTTATGGTTGGGGGTCACCACAGCATGAGGAACAGTATTAAAGGGTCGCAGTGTCAGGGAGGGTGAGAGCTGCTGTTCTAAGGGTCTTCAAATGGGGCTAAAGGATCTGGGATGGAAGCCTCTTTAGCAAAGTTCCACCTCTCGTGAAGACTTTAGGATCAGAGAGGGAATCGGAGGCTGCTGGGCTGAGACCCCTGACCATCTGGCTTGGACAGGTGAGGTCAGAAAACAAGGGGGGTGGCCCCTGAGGAACAGCATCCGTTTGTCCTCTGGCTCCCACACACACGTATACACATATCCGTACATACACGTGAACACATACACACATCATGAGTATGCACATACATGCACTTGAACACGTACACATATGCGCTTATGTACACATGAGCACACCCACACAAACACAAGTGAGGACAAGGAACCTTCACTGAATGGTGCTGAGTGAAACACAATGGGATCCAGTCACTTGACTACACATAAGAAGCTGTATGTAAGCACGTACACACTGTGTGATCCTACTCCTGTGAGGACACACAGTAGGCAAACTGAGGTCTTACAACATGGGATGCTGGTTGCCTTTGGGGGGAGGGCAGGTTGGTAGTCGGGAGAGGGCACTTTTCTGGCTCCTTCTTTTGCTCCTGGTGGTGGTTACATAGTGAGTTTACTTTGGAATAAGTAAAGTTAAAAAAAGCTTTTTGTCTGTTTGTTTGTTTGTTTGTGTTTTTCGAGACAGGGTTTCTCTGTAGCTTTGGAGCCTGTCCTGGAACTCACTCTGTAAACCAGGCTGGCCTTGAACTCACAGAGATCTGCTTGCCTCTGCCTCCTGAGTGCTGGGATTAAAGGTGTGCCCCATCATGCCTGGCTTTAAAAAAGCTTTTGACCTCATACTTTGTAGTGTTATCATAGTGGGTAAATAAATTACACCATCTCTCTAGGCATCCTTTTGTCATTATGTTTGTATATTTGGGGTGTCGGGGGTTTAACAGTTTTCATTTAGGTATTTTCTGGTAATAGAAAACAGGCTCAGGCTCACACACAGTCTCTGGAGGACAGGGTTCTCTGGTCCTTTTTCTTTGATACCTAACACTGAAGCAAAAGCCTTTCAACAAAAGCCGCCCTCCTGTCATGATCAGCAGTGGACACTGATAACATTTATATAGAGATTGTGACTGAAAGCCTATAGTTATACTGTTGAAAAGCAAATCCTCCAGATGAGTTTGTTTACACTTTTATTTGTCTTCGTTTGTGCTCCAGCTGGTCCCTAGAGGATCTAAAGACTGTGGGCTTCACTAGTGTGGACAGTTAATGCTCTCAGCACTCAAAGTTAGTACTGCTTCTAGGTATTATCCACAGTTGGAAGTCTGCTACACACAACCTAGGAGTCTTATTTTTGCCTATAGGATTCAAGACCCTCAACACATATCCTGTGGCAAAGCCAAAAATAGATCTGACAGTAGCACTTGCTATAAAAGAACTCAGTTGTTAAAAAGGGAAATTAAAAGGGGGAAAAATGAATTAAAAGACACTGACCTGGGGCTAGACAGGTAGCTCAGTGGTTAAGCACCTCGATGTTCTTCCAGAGACCCGGGCCTGATGGCCAGGACCCACTTGGCCAGTAACAATTCCGTAACTAACACCAGCACTAGGGGATCTGGCATCCTTGTCTGGCCTCTGCAGACACCAGGCACACATGGGCACCTACATACATGCTGGAAAAACACACTAAAAAACAAAGACACACACCTCACAAGGAGTCATAATCCAGAGGAGGGAGCATTTGAATTGTCTATCTTCATAAGGAACAAAAACTTGAACTGTTGGGCTTTTCCTAAATAAAAGGTAGAAACTGCTTTTGCTTTTTTTTTTTTTTCTCATATCCCAGTTTTATTTTGTTCTGAGTTTTTTTGTTTTGTTGTTTTTCCCTTTTCTTTTTTTCCCCCACACAGATTTCTCTGTGTAGCTTTGGAGCCTGTCCTGGAACTCACTCTGTAGATCAGGCTGGCCTCAAACTCACAGAGATTTACTTGCCTCTGCCTCCCTAGTTCTGGGATTAAAGGCATGCACCACCACTGCCAGGCTTGTTCTGAGTTTTTAGCCTTCACTGTGTTTAATGAGATGACTATGCCAGGGAGCTATGGGCATTCAAGACGAGCAGTGCATTGCTCTGTTGGGCAAAAGCTCTCAGGCACTTTCATAACATGCCTCTAATCTCAGGGTTGTTAAGTCGCTTAGGCTGGGCTCTTACTGAGCAAGAGGAGGAATAGAATATGAGCACAGGGCAGTCAGTCAATGCTAGCGGATTTCCTATTGGTCATTGCTGTCCCCACTCCATGTTCTCTTCTGAAGGAATGTCATGTCTTTCCTCACTTCCCCAACGATGTTTTACACACAGTCCACCTCTGTATCCTTGGGTCCTATATCTATGGACTCAACCAAGTGCCAATCAAACATAGAGGGGGAAAATCATATCTGCAGTGTTTATATATTGGCTGTTTTATCATTGTGGTCTAATGATACAGAGTAATAGCTATTTACATCATTTGGACACTGTCTTATATAATACAGTTAATCTAGGTGCGATTTAGATGATGCAAGATGTGGGTTATTGCGTGATGGCTTTGCTCTTACTCTTTTGGATCTTTAGCCTTTTGCCTTTTTTTTTTGAAGGACCCACCACCTAGCTCCTAAATAACTCATTCACAGAGGCTTATTCTTAGTTATGAATGCCTGGCCTTAGCTTGGCTTTTCTAACCAGCGTTTCTTATCTTAAATTAACCATACTACCTTTTGCCTCTTGGCTTTTACCTTTCTCCTTTGTCTATTTTACTTTACTTCTTATTCTGTGGCTGTCTGTGGCTGGCTGTGTGTCTGTGTGGCTGTCTGTGTGGCTGTCTGTGTGGCTGTCTGTGTGTCTGTGTGTCTGGGTGTCTGGGTGTCTGGGTGGCTGGGTGGCTGGGTGGCTCCTGATGCCCTCCTCTCCTTGTTTTTTTCCTTGCTCCTCCTCTTCCTTGTTTCTCCTTCTTTTTATCCTCTCTGCCCACCAGCCCTGCCTACTCTTGCTCCTGCCTTGCTATTGGCTGTTCAGCTCTTTTTTTTTTTCTTTATGCTATCAGGTGTTTTAGACAGGCACAGTAACACAGCTTCACAGAGTTAAACAAATGCAGCATAAACAAAAGTCACACACCTTAAAATAATATTCTATACCACAGTGGGTAGGTTATATAAAATAACCATGCCATTTAATATAAGGGATTTTGAACACTCACTGACTTTGGTATGTCTCTGGGGATATTAGAACCAATCTCTCATGGATTTCTAGGGGCTACTGTACCTAGTTTTCATATAGCCAGTGTGTATGCTGATCATGGCATCTTAAACTTCATCCAAACTGGACCTGTCTCTGTCTCTAACACATTCTAATGGTGCCATTTACATTCATGATCTGATTAAAGATCTGTGATGACAAAAAAAAAGACTACACACCTTATTGATCTGTTGAAAAGGGTTTAGTCTCATAGGCAGAAGGGGCTTCATCTTTGTTCACTGTTCAACTGATGCTCAGGATATGTCTACAGCATCCACACTCCACATCATCACAGTCAACCTCAGCAACTGCCTTCTAGAGTCCTTTATTGCCACATATGCTGTAAGGAGATATTCAACCACTCCCCACCACCTGCACTGACCACGCCCAGGCGTGGTCACAGGTGTGGACCCGACCAGTTAAAAGGATTGAATTGGGCTTTTCGCCAAGATGGCGCCGAAAGCGAAGAAGGAAGCTCCTGCCCCTCCCAAAGCCGAAGCCAAAGTAAAGGCCTTGAAAGCCAAGAAGGCAGTGCTGAAAGGCATCCACAGCCATAAAAAGAAGAAGATCCGCACGTCACCCACCTTCCGGTGGCCCAAGACCCTGCGGCTCCGGAGGCAGCCCAAATACCCTCGGAAGTGCACGCCCCAGAGAAACAAGCTTGACCACTATGCCATCATCAAATTCCCTCTGACCACTGAGTCAGCCATGAAGAAGATAGAAGACAACAACACACTTGTGTTCATTGTGGACGTCAAGGCCAACAAGCACCAGATCAAACAGGCTGTGAAGAAACTCTGACATTGATGTGGCCAAAGTTGGCTCCTGATTATGATGCTCTGGATGTTGCCAACAAAATTGGGATCATTTAAACTGAGTCCAACTGGCTAATTCCAAATATACACTTTTTCATCATAAAAAAAAAAAAAAAGGATTGAATTGGGGCTTGGAAGGCCCTTCAGGTCTCAGAGAGCATCAGGGTGGCAGGGTCTGTGTTGGGGCTGGAGTGACACGGTACTCATTTCCTGTGTTATTTTCTCCAAATAAACTCCAATTCATCTTACTGGTCAAGCATCCATATCAAATGTGGACATGGAAATCAGGATGCAGACCCTGCCACCTTGATGCTCTCAGCTATCTGAAGGGGCTTCTGAGCCCTATTCAATCCTTTTAACCAGTCAGTCTACGCCTGTGACCATCCCAAATGGGCATAGTCAGTGCTATAGGTTTGGTGTGTGTGTGTGTGTGTGTGTGTGTGTGTGTGTGTGTGTGTGTGTTTATCTCACTACAATGTGCCTGTGCTGGATAGTTTCATATTTTCCATCAGTAGGAGAAAATACCAGCACAGTTATTGCTCACAATACTCTGGCCCTTTGGGACCTGGTAGTATTGAAGCTATAGATCAACTTGCCTCTGAAATTCTCCAATACCCTTGGTTCCATCATTACTTATTGCACAGCAATTTCCACACCTGTCATCCTGGCTAACGGCTTCCAAGCACTCTCTACAGGCTGCTTCTGTGCTTCGTTATAATGGCCAAAACTGCAAGGCACACATTGTGTGGGAAGTTATTTTCAGTCAGCTAATCTCACCCCTGGAAATTTGGTGTCATATAGAACAATGCATTCTTTCCATTGTTTCTTCTTTGCTCTGCTTAGGCTCATTCCTAGAATATGGTTTCTTCCAACCCTGGCACACATTATCCTTCACTAGTGTGCAAGGTGGAAATGAGTGGTCCATATTTGAAGAACGTCCATCCTTCCTCTTACATGATTTAAGACCAGCCTGGAGAAGCAGGATGTCAACACATTCACAGAGGGATGATGGGTAATCTCATTGTTCTGAGATTGGAGGCAAAACAACACATCAATCAGAAGATCTATTGATGTTGTAGAGCAAAGAGCTCAAAAAGACCCAGGAGTAGATTTGTCCATCCCCACAGGAGTTCCCTAGATGTAGTAAAGAGACCACAGGCAGGATCTGCTATTATGCTGGCGAGTTCAACTTCCCTCTTGAAGCAAGAAAATATTTAACTTTACTTTTGATTTTACAAGAGTCCAGAGTTGAGAGACTTGAACTTTTAAAAGTAAGTTTTGTAGAAACTTTGAATTCTTTAAAAAAAGAGATTGAATTTTTAATGTATTTAAATTTGTAAAGACTGAGAGTCTTTTAAGGTTTTATGTCTTATATTGTGGTATTAATATTAATGTGTCATTTTGGGGACAAATGGGAAAGGAAAGGTTCTAACTGCAAAGTGATGTGTTTGTGTATCAGGCTGACAAGAGGTCAGTTGTGCTGGCTAGTTTATGTCAGTTTGACACAAGCTAGAGTCATCTGAGAGGAGAGGAAGAGCAGGCTGTAGACAAGCATGTAGGAAATTTTCAAAATTAGTGACTGGTTAGTGAAGGGCCCAGCCCCTGGGCTGATGATCCTGGGTTCCATAAGAAAGCAGAGTGAGCAAGCCATGAGGAGCAAGCCAGTAAACAGCACCCCAACATGAGCTGAGGAGTCCAGAGGAGGCCATCAGATCCTCGGAACTGGAGTTACAGATGGTTGTGAGGCACCACGTGGATGCTGGAAACTGAAACACGGTCCTCTGCAAGGGTACTAGGTGTCCTTTACCACACAGCTGTCTCTCCAGCCCAGTTTTCTCAGAGTAAGAAAGAAAGAAAGAAAGAAAATACCTCTTGACTCCTCCAGATTGTTCTGTGCGTACTCCATCGTACTCCAAGGGTGAAGGACATGCTGAGAGCTAGCAGCTTCTCCAGCATTCCATACATGACTTAACCTGAGCTTCATTTGAGATGACCACAACCACAAGCCACACCCCCTTCTTAGAGGGACACTTCTCCCACTAGCCCCTCAGATATAGGGATTTTATGAGAACCTGCTCAGCTATTTGTCCCTTCTGTGTGGGATTCAGTCTTCAGGTGGGATTTTTACAGTATCAAATTGTTACTGTTCATCTCTTCCTTTTCCACTCTATCCAGAATTCATCTGTCAGTTGGCAGCTTTCATAATCTTGGTCTGGATTTAAATAAACCTTTCACCCACCTGAGAGCTGGGCCGTGATTCCGGCCACAGCAGACATGCCCTTTCTTGCCTGAGCAATGGCTTTCTAAATTTGAAAAGTATGTCCTTTTAATTTCCAGAAAGTTCTTCCTCCGATGCCTCTGAATTCCCATAGTACTTTTTTGTTGTTGTTATTAAGATGCCATTTGATGCTTCCAAGAACTCACTTTCAGTAGTTGTTAGAAGAGAAGTCTGTTGCATTTACTGGTTTCTAAGCTCACATGACGGCAGCCTTAAGGCCCAGGAATTCTTTGTCCGTCAACAGTAGATAAACAAACTTCCCAGACTCACACGATAAAATTAGAGCTTAAAAGTAAGACTCTCATATGGTGCTTGTCTTTATGAATTGTGTATATGTCTGTGTGATGTATGCAGGGTAGTTGTGTGCACTATAAGTGTTCGTGTGTGAAAGTACACATGCTTTTGTGCCCCATGGAGGCCAGAGGAGGGGTCCTGATGCCTGGTCTACCATGTTTCACCTCATTCCTTTGAGACGGGGCTTCTCAACCTGGAGCAAGGCTGGTGACCAGCAATCCCGTGATCCTCCCCTCTCTGCCGCCCACCGCTGTGCATGGCAACACTCACCTTTTCACGTGAGTACTGGGGGTTCCATCCTAGGTCCATGTGCTTGCTCATCAAATGCTCTCACCCACAGAGCTATCTTCCCAAGCCCTCACCTTCAGTCTTTTACATGTTCAGATTAATAGTGACTGAATATCTGGGGCATTATATATGTTCTTAGCATGTATTTTTTTTCTAAGAGGGAATTTATTTAGGTTTTAAAAATTATTTTATAGTTTATAGATGCAACTTCTATGCTGGATTCTAGGTGGTAGGCTGTCAAATCTGATGAGGTTTCAGGGGAATAGCTTTTCAGTTTTCCAAGGGCTCTGGGGACACCACACACAGAGGGATTGTTCTGGAGTTAACTTCTGAAACACAGCAGTGAAGTGATTTTTTTCACTTGAGGTTGTTGCAGCCCTGGATCCCTGGGGTCACTTTGCCAATGGTAGAACTTCCATATAACCCAGGAGGAAGGGATAATTCATGTCATTTCTTCTACAGATAAAATATAGGCCTTCCAATGCTGTGAGAGCAGTTTTGTTCAGTTCGTGGGAAATTACATTGGCACATAACCCAGAGCTATCTGTGGAATAATTTTCAGCATTACCCACAATGACATTTAGCATATCAAAGTGGAAAATTGCCCTTGCAACCTTGGAAGGCCTCCATGCAGAGAACTTTAGAGAGTCTGGCTGGTATGAGGGGACTGCAAGGCTGCCACATTCCTTCCAGACACTTCCAGTCACCTAGTAAACTTGCTGACCACATGAGTGAGCTAATTCTGTGTGTAACATCTTGTGGTGTCATGGCCAATGGCATTGGGGCTGGTGGAGCCGCCAGCTGTCCATCCAGGAAACACCTGCCTTTAGGCAAAGAGATGGATAAAAGTGTCATTTTTATGTATCTACCATAACCTTGAACTAACAGTGAGCAACCTAAATAGCCAGAATAAAGGAAATTCAGACTCAGTCACCCGAAGCCATCAAACCAATTTCTAACTATAGTCTACACAGTTACTATACAGTGACAGCCATGCGGTTGATGGGTAGATACAGACAGCAAAGCTTATAGACTACAGTTTAATGTCTCAGGGTTAAAGCTGTAAATAGAGACTGTAAGTCAGAAAGCACTGTTGTAGTTACTTTTGCCATTCCTGGGACTAAGCACTTGACAAGAAGCAAATTAGGGAAGGGTTTGGGTTTAATTTCCTAGCAAGGGAAGCATGATGGCTGGGGCTCCGGCCTTGGTACCAGAGCTTGTAGCTGGTCACAAACAGCCATGGACAGGAACCAGGGCCACAAGCCTGTCCCTTCTGAGTCCCTTCTGCCAGCCGGGGCCTCATCCCTTAAAGACTCCACAGCTCCCCCAAACAGTGCCACTAGCTGGGGATGTCACTTGGCTGCTTTGGGAATCTTAAGACGTGTTTTCTTTTAAATTCCTAGAGCTCCCTGCCTCGGTGTTAACTAGGCCAGAACCCCAAGCAGGTGGGACCCTGATGGGTACAGTTTGTAAATTCTCTGGAGATTCTAATCTAACTGTGGGGCCCTTGGAGCCAGGTGGTCTTTACGGTTTGTTCACTTGGGACTTCATTTCTTATAGCAGGTTAGTGTTAGCCCCTGGTCTGTGAATAGGTACGATGAATGGCTCTGTAAGCTCATCCCATTCCGGTTGTGCCCTTGTCACAAGTAGCTTTCTGAGAAGCAGTGAAATTTAGGGGGGAAACATACCACCCGGTTTCTGCAACATTTCTTGTGAACACAGCATTCTCACCTCATGTAAGCCATGTTCCAGAGAAAGTGGATGCCGCTACCTTCCCATAGAAATGCCCCCACGGTGGCTGCGAAATACAGGAGGTGACAGACAGAGGAGAGGTACGGTGACACTCCAGACTGAAATAGCCTGTGCTTTTCTCAGCCATGGTGGGCCCATGGCCTCCCCTGTGTTCTAACTCCTCTGGGCTGTCCAGATCTATCTAAGGATGCTCTGAGCTGGGATGGTTGTTCACACAGGTGCGAGGCTGGACCGCTTGGGTGGTGTAACTCGGTGAGTCTGTGTGTTGGTCAACTAGACATACATTTTTGTCTTCTTACTGCCCAGCAATTAACCTGATGGGAACCTGGCTGAAACCTTGCTGGATTCCCATCTGTTTATCCTCTCACAAAATCAACTGTTAGGCTCTTTGACAGAGGAACTGAAGGAAATTGAGTGATAAAGACATCAGGGTTACTGCTTGTTACATCACAGGCCAGCTGGGTGACAGGTGACAGTACCCAGGCAGGCCCCTCTCTGTCCTCTTTTCTGACTAGGCCTCATCCTCAGGGTGGTCTTCAACATGGCTGGCCCAGTTAGAACTAGGATCCTCCTGAACCTGTTTTGGGAGACTCAGCACATCTTCCATGTCTGACCACTGTGGCTGCTTCCAACATCTCCTCCTTTCTATTCACCCACCCCTGATTCTCTTTGTACCCTTACCCATCCTGGTCCTTGCTCGGGTCAAAATTAAGCTCCATATTTATTTCCTATTATGACCGACACTATAGTGATAGTCTGAAGAGTCTTACTTTCTATTATTAGAATGTTTTTCCTTTTAGATATCTTCAATGGCATTAATATGATTGTCTGAAGTGTGATCCTAATTAGTCTTATCAATAACAAATCAGGAGTCAGATATTGGGGTGGAAACCTGGAAGATCAGAGAACCGGGAGCAGCTGCTGGTTTCTTCCGACCTGTCTTACTCTTCCATCCAAAAGCCCCAGATTCTGGGGCTGGAGAGATGGCTCAGTGGTTAAGAGCACTGACTGCTCTTCCAGAGGACCTGGGTTCAATTCTTAGCACCCACATGGTAGCTCACAACTGTCTGTAACTCCAAGATCTGACACCCTCACACAGGCTACCTATAAGCAAAACACCAATATACACAAAATAAAAATAAATGAATTATATATATAAAGCTCCAGATCCTGTCCCCACCTCACCTTATCACTTCCCCTCTGCCTCCTGAGTGCTGGGATCAAAGGCATGAGCCACTACCTCCCAGAATCTATGGTTAACTGGTGGCTAGCTCCACCCTCTGATCTCCAGACAAGCTTTATTTGTCAGAACACAAACAAAATATCACACAACAATTGTCCTCCTGAAACTCATGTTGGAGTTTAATCTGCATCCTGAGGTATAAAGGATGGAACTTCATCTGATGATGGTGTACAGAGGCAGGACTCTGGGAAGTGAAGATGAGGTTTTGAGACCGTCAGAGTGCAGTCTGCATGAGTGAGTACTGGAGGGTTCTGAAGATGAGAAGAGAGGGGCTGGTGAGATGGCTCAGTGGTTAAGGGCACTGGATGCTCTCACAGAAGACTGGGGTTTGATTCCCAGCTCCTATGTAGCAGCTCACAACCACCGGGAACTCCACTTCAACTCTAGTCCTAGAGGATGGGACACTCTGTTCTCTGATCTCCATGAGCACCAGGCATGCATGTAGTGCACATATGTGCAGATAAGACATTCTTACACTTGCAGCCTGATGGGGGAATGTCCTTCTGTATATATGTTTCTCTTATTGGTTGATGAATAAAACATTGTTTGGCCAATAGCCAGGCAGGAAGGACAAGCGGGGCTATGAGAGGAAGGGGTGAGGAGAGGGAGAGAGGTGGAGGGATGCCATGTAGTCACCAAAGGAGTAACAGATTCAGGCATTCTCCAGTAAGCCAAGACCATGTGAAATACATAGATGAGGTATGGGTTAATAATTAAGAGAGAGCTAGCCAGTAAGAAGCCCTAGCCTCTGGTCAACTGTAGCGTCTGTGTGTTTATTTGGGACTGAAGTGGCTGCAGAATCAGGTGGGAAAGCAACTCCAGCTACAGCAGCCAACTAAGCCAACCAAGTGTTTTCCCCATGGGGTCCTGGTGTGCAATGGTTGCAAACAGCAGCCTCCTTGGTAGCATATGTAGCCGTTGCCTGTGTGAGTTGCCCTAAGGAACCTCAGAGATGATTTTCTGGCAGTTATTCAAGTCTCTGGTCTCAATGCTGTCCCCAGTTGAGGCTTCAGGCCAGTATGTTTTGTGTCTTTGGGAAGCCCTGGGGCACAGTGGTCAGGTTTCACGTTGGCCAGGTCATCATGTCCATCTGCACCAAGCTGCAGAGTAAAGGACATGTGACTGAAGCTCTGTGTAGAGCTAAGTTCAGGTTCCTTGACCACCCAAAGACCCACATCTCAAGGAAGTGGGGCTTCGCCAAGTTTAATTCAGATGAATTTGAAGACACAGTTGCTGAGAAGTGACTTGTTCCTGATGGCTGTGGCACCAAATATATCTTCAATTCCAGTCTCCTGGACAAGTGCTGGGCCCTGCACCCCCAGAGACCTCTACAGTGTTCTCCTGTACCCTGCTAAATCATGTTCAGTAATAAATGTCACATCCAGTCTGGAAAATAAAACTCGTATACATAAAATAAGAATATATGGTCTTATAATTTGCCATGAGTACTAATACAGGACTGTGGCATTCATTATCAGTAATAGACGATGTACTAAAGCAAGCTGAACACAGCCGCACAAATGGGGCTGTCTACGAAGATGTGTAGAACATTGGCTTCTTGGGACATAGGTAAGTATGGGGCTCTGGGCTCCCTGGGCTTAGAAAATGTCTGGTGAAATGGAGTTTGCTTTCTTGTAAGACTAACTAAATTCCTTAGAAGGCTAGTGGGCCTGAGGTCTTTGGAAGGGTGGAAACAGGCGCAGCATTCCCCAGCTTTGTCTGACCTCTTTCGTGAGATCCTGGCTAGCTGAAAGTTAAAGCTGTATGAAGCACGCTCTTGGACACCTCAGCTGGAGTGTCCAGCAGTTTTACTAATCATCCACTCATAACACAGGAATTAAAAATACTCCAATTATCCCCCTTCATCATGTTAATAAAGAATCTGAGTTCCCAGGGGGTCCTAGGAGGGCAGCAAGACAGGTAGATGGTGAGGGACGGACAATAAATTAAAATTCAGAAGTCCACACTCATTGAGCCAAAGCCCTCTTTTAATATTTGATGATGTGTGCATTGTTGCATCTCATTGGTTTGGTAGGGTGATAAAGGACTAGAGAACAGGCCACTTAAACAATAGAAACACACGTTCCTGTTCTCACAGCTCAGGAAGCAGGGTTTCTGAGCCACCTCCATGGTTTGCCGAGAGCCACATCCCCATCTGCATACTTTTGCCTTTTTTTATGAGGATACCAAGTGTACTGGACGAAGCCCACCCCAATGGCCTCATTTAAGACTCCATCTTCAAGCAGGGCCCATTCTGATATGTAGGGATTTGGACTCATATATGTTGAATTTTTGTTGTTGTTGGTGTTATGTGCAACATAGAGATTCATTTATAATTTTTTTTTTTGAGGCAGGGTTTGTCTGTGTAGCTTTGGAGCCTGTCCCGGAACTTGCTCTGTAGACCAGGCTGGCCTTGAATTCACAGATAGACCCTTGCATCTGCCTCCTGACTGCTGTGTTTACAGGTGTGTGACACCATGCCTGGGTGTCTGGCTATGGAACTCTTAAAACAAGAGGGATTTCTGCAGGCTCTCACACTGGGAGAAGAAAACAGGCCAAATCCTGGTGCCAGCCAGAGGAGAAACTTGTCTCCCAGGAAGAGGTTCCGTGATGTCCTGACAGCTTGTTAGATCATCTTGCAGAGAGACTGGTGCAGAGAGACTGGAGTTGAGACAGGTATAGATGGGACCATGTGGTGACATGGTTTACATATCTCTGACCTGCTATTTAAACCTGATCTAAAAAAAAACCCAAAATAAAACAAACAACCCCCCTCCCAAAACCCAAAACTCTAGTTCCTTCCCTAATACCATGCCTGCCTGCACACTGCCCTGCTTCCCTCCATGACATTAATGGACTAAATCCCTGGACTGTAAGTGAACCACCACAATTAAATGTTTTCCTTTATATGAGTTGCTGTGGTCATGGTGTTTCCTCACAGCAATAGAACTCTAAGACAATTGTATATGCCAATAAGAATCCTACAAATGCTTCCAACTTTATATTTATTATTATTATTATTAATTATTGAGAAAGGCTCTCTCGCTCTCTCCCTCTGTCCCTCTGTCCCTCTGTCCCTCTCTTCCTCTCTCCCTCTTTCCCTTTCTCTCTCTCCCTCTCTCCATGTAGCTCTAGCTATCTTGGATTTACTATGTAGACATGGATGGTCTTGATCTCACAGAGATCTACCTGCCTCAGCCTCCAGAGTGCTGGAATTAACAAGGTGCTCCACCATGCCCAGCTGGTTCCTACTTTAAAATCTATTATGATCAATTTTATTTTTAGACCAATAAGAGCCAGCACTTTTGAGTGGATTTTACTTTAGAGGGATGACCATGGTCTCTCTTTTTCTTTTGTTTAGTGTGTGAAAAATCTTGTTGGAAGAGGGAAGAAACTACTTCATTCTTAAGAAAATAATGTATTACAGAAAACTTGAAGATGAATCAAAACCTAAGACTTAAGAACAGTTTAAAAATTACATGTGCTGGTTTGCTTCTCTCAAATTTTATTTTACAAATGAAATTGTAAGGTAGTTTTCTGAGATGGTATTTGGATTTAGGGGTGAGGGAGGAAGACTAAAAGGGTTTGATCTAAGGATATAATAGTTCTGAATGAAAACACATTTCATTTGTTTTCCTTGAACATCCTTGTTAGACGTCCTACAGGCAATTTAATCTTTTCCAGTAATGGTGAAGTTTCTGGACTCTGTCAGGGCGTCTTCCTTTCTTCACTACCTTTTCTGCTTTGCACATTCCTGTCTCACGGTCAGTGGAGTGCGAAGGCCCTACAGGCCTGGCTGTACGGCAGGAGAGTAGATTGTCTCATAGCTCTCCCTAACTAGCAAATTGCAGGCAGGAAGTTGAAGGTGAGGTGTGTCAGCCTCAGGCAAGACTGTCTGTCAGGCTGTGCCTGTGTGAAACTGGACAAAGCCGGAACAAAGCTGAACACTGAAACTGTGGCTGGAGAGAGACATGGGGTGCAGGAGGTACATGTCCACATGGGTTTACATCAAGACCAGGATCTTTGTCATCATCTAATGTGGTTAATGTTTTCATAACTTAGTTTTTTCTAACGGCCCTAGAAAATTGAGTAAGTAAAATACTTAGGACATCTTGCCAAGTTAAAGATTAAATTAGACAAAATAAATTTATAATTAAAATTAGTGTTTTGATGCCTGGTTAAGTAAACAAGATATGTTTCTCAGAGGCTAGAGATGTGGCTCTGTGGTGGAATGCTTGGGTTAGTTCTTCAGTGCTGGAAAAAAAATATCCAACTATAGAAAATCAGAGTGGCCATAGTACAGTGCACACAGACATGCTTTGTAAGTATATTCCTTTACTTACAAAGGTAGAGCATTGTGGGAAAAAAAGTCATGCCATGCCAAGCTGGACAAGTTAAAGAAAATATAAACAAAGATATCCCAAACAATGAAAAATAACCTTGACAAGACACCTACCATCGCAGAAACCACAGAACTGCTTAAAACAGCCCCCGAGCAAGCTGATGCTTGCTACTTCTATAAAGAGAAAAGAAAAGCCACTAGCCAGGTATGCTTACCAGGCTTTGAACAACTGTGGTACATTGTGAACGTCTTCAAGAATCCTCAGATATTGGAGCAAGATGTAAAGAGCAGAGCTGTTGCAGATGACATGCAGGGGGTTGGTAACACATACTCAGAGAAAGACCCAATTATGGAAAACTTCTTTGAGCAAACCAGCATCCCAAGGTGATGTGTGGCTTAAGAGGAAACGAGTGCAACCCAGCTGAATAACAGCACGGGTACAAAGGAGTCAAGAAGTTGGGCCTAAGGAAATAGTTAAAGAAGATGTTGATCTATCGATGTAGAGAGGTGTTTTTCTAGAATACATAGTGTTATGCCAAGTCCGTGAGACCGCAAAAAGACCACCAAGGAGCCAACTCACCAGTGCAAACACACAAGGTTTATTGTTAAGTTACAAGCCTCGTCAGGACCCCTGGACAGCAAACTGTCACAGGAGCTGCAGGAAAAGGGGGCCTGGCCTCAATTGCAAGAGGAAAAAACCAAACAGGGTGGTGCGTGCCTTGGCTGTTCAGGAGTAGGTGACCTTTGGATTCATTGACATGGGGGCTAGGGGAATTTCAAAATTGTTACTAACAGTTGCCCACAAGGTCAGTTGTGGTTAGATGTTATTTACCAAAATTAACCATTGCCTGATCACCCAGATGGGGTCATTTTGACAGGGGTGGGCACAGTTTGGGTGCTACTTGGAAATGTTTATGACTCCTTGGCTGGAGCTGAATCAGCCTTGCGCCACTCAGGGAATTTCTCAAGGTGGCTTTTTCTGGAGAGGATGGAGATTTACGCTGCTTTTACAATAGGAAGGCAGGAGAGGTGGAACCCGGGTGGAGAAATTAATGGTGTGCTTCTCAAGACTAGACCATGGGATTTCCTGTGTCTAGAGTCAACACCCTCATGGAGAGTAGATAATTAGGCAGCCGACCGGAGGGGATATGTGAGGTATGGATTCCTGACCCCTCTGCACCCTCTGGCATTTCCAGATGGAATTGTGATGTATTGTGTGGCTCTACAGATGGCATCACCCATTCTTCTCCATGTTCTCAGGCTAACACTGTCTGAGGATGGTGCTGCCAATCCACTCTAGACCAGACAGGGATGCAAGAACCGGAGCCCACAGAGATTTCTGCTTCTGTTGTAATTTAAGAAAAGCTGCTCCCGAGAGAAAGATGCCATTTGACAAGGCTCAAGCAGAGTTTTTTTTTTTTTTGTTTTTTTTTTGTTTTTGTTTTTGTTTTTTGTTTGGGAAAGGGATCATTTAAAAAAAAAAATGGAAAGGGGAGGGGGGAGACTGGCCTCCAGGGACTTCGAGAAAAGCCAGAAGGCAAGGAAAGGACTATGATTGAGAAAGGAAGCCTCACATTCAGGGGAATGGTCAGAAGTGTAACCGCACCAGAGACCCA